TCGTGAGCAGGGCACAACCTCCAAATCGTCACCAGGGCCTTCACGTTTGGTCCCTGCGACGAAACATGTCAAATCTTCGCCAGCTCTTGCGCAACCCCGCCACATAACGCCAAATGTCGACAACGAAGTACCCTCAGCGCCACCTAGCATCGGACCAGTGCGAGCTGTCCCGATTCATGTTGAGACTCCGAGACTTGGACGAGCTTTGACTGCAGGAGTCGCCCTGCAAGGACTCCTGGATCCTAGTCGTTTTACCCCAGAATCGTCGCAAGAGCTGGCAGCTGATCGGCGCGGATCTCTTGATGACCTCTTCCGAGGCTTCAGTGAGGGTTCACGTAAGCAATTACAAGAAGGACTTCGTCTGGGCGAACAGCTTGCTCAGAACCAGGTCGTGAATGAACCTTCACCTTCTCTTCCTAAGTCCCACACAACTCAAACAGATATCGCACCAAGGGACCGACCAATCAGGACACAAAGAAAATGGAGATCGCGACTTCTTACACCAGAAGACGAACAGAGTGCTGAGTCCGCGGAACCCCAACCTGAAGAGGCTCATGTTCAACACCCAATCTTGCCTGCTGGAGAGCAAGTCAACCCACTGCCTAGCCCAACAAGAAGTGACGAGGAGGGCGAGATGAGTTTCCAGGTCGATAGCATTGTAGCTAGCGTGATGGAAGAAGAGGCAGAGGAACCCCAACAAACGACAGGCGGACAAACACAGCAACTCCCATCACATGAGCCTTGTGAGGCGATTACCAATGAAGCTGGAGAAGACTACTCAGATCTTTGGCAAGAGGAAGGAAGTCGAATTTCAGATTCGCCTGAATCCGCATCAGCGATCAAGGACACGTTATCACAGGAGCCGGACTTGTTTATCGACAGCGTGAGCGGCGGATCTGGTCGCAGCAGATTCAATCGGAGATTCCAACGCCGTACCGCACGACAGGTTAGGGGTGATAATGGAGCCAATGATCCTCAGCTACCAAGTCCTCCGCGCACAGAGTCTGTTGAGCCTGCCTCCGATGGTCTCGATAAGGGCAAAGCAAAGATGGCTGATGGAACTGCTGACAGAGAGGCTGCAGAGCAGGACAACACCATGACTAGCGAAGGAAGTGATGACACTGGAATGTTCTTCCAATCGAACATGCCTTCAGTGCTTGACAAGAAACGTCGTTCCGATCGTGGACAGTCGAAAGCAGACAAATTGGACCTGTCGTTGCTATTGAACGAGGGCGAGAGCTTGCAGCCAGAGCCTTCTCCAGAGAAGCATGCAGCTCCTACACAACCTAACCCCTTCCTCGACACCCCACCTCGCTTTGCTGGATTTCCCAGTTCGCCAAAGAAGAGCAGTCCGCTGCGCCGTGAGCTTCGTGGCTCAGATATCTCATCCAATACGCCCAGTCAAATGCGGGATGAATCGACACTGCCTCTTGCACAAAGCTCGCCGTTTCACTCGCGAATTGAAGGAGACAGCATGCTTTCTACTGCATCGGATCAACGCCAGCTTCTTGCCGAGATGGCGGGTGTGGACGTTACTGATCACAGTGTTCGACTGCTTCGTGACGAGGCTAATGAATATCTCGATGCTTACGAGCCGCAAGAGCGGTCTTTGAACGAGATTGAGGAGGTCACCGAATACAGCAGGACTTTGCAAGGCGATTCTAGCATGATGCCGTCGAGCCCTCCAGCTAGGCAAAATTTTGTACAACATGCCGCGTCTTCAACCTATACCCCAAGCTCAATCGCAAGACAGCCTTTGTCTGAGTCTCTTTCGGAATTTACACCAACTCCACTTGCTCGAGAATCAGCTGCAGAGCGCGAAGCTACTGCCGAGTCTTCCTTTGTCAGCACCAGCTCAGCCGGACGCTCGGATGGCCTTCGTGCTGCAGCACAACTACAGCGTGAATCCTCCGCCAGCGCCAGTGTGCATTCGCCCTCACGCGCACATCCAATCCTCTCCAAGTTCGCCCCCCTCCCGCGTATCGAACCTTGGACAAAGACTCACTACAAAATCCTGGACAAACTCCATGCCGCCCATCTCAAATACCCAACGCTCTTTTGCTCCCTGACAGTTCCGTCGACAACACTGTCCCGTGCGAATGCTGCACTTCTCTCTAACTTTGCTGCCACCACAGAGAAGAACTATGTTGGTGCGCAGGTCTCGGCTTGGGGCTACACATTTATCATGACATCCGAGATCATCACTATATGTGAGGTGTTCATGCACCTGCTCAGTCTTGGATCGATTGAGGAGTACGAGAGGACTAGTGGAAGGGGCATCGAGATGGGAGATGTCGCACCCGGCAAGAACGGAGATAATATTGGGAGAGAGGAGGTTATGAGAAGATTGTGTACGATCGTGCTAGGCGAATATGTCAGAGATGACGAAAGGAAGGGGTTCAAGGTGAAGAAGACGGGCGCGTTGAGGATCATCGGGGTTGGTGGAAAGGCACTCTAGAGCTGTGTAAGGAGTGTATGACTTCAACATTGCTGGCTTTGGGATCTTGGGTATGGCGTTGGTTGCTTAGATGTTCGATACCTCTTTTCATGACAGTTCTTATAACACAATCTTACGACGCTCTGTTTTCATACTCCACACACTGTACGGTATCGCAACTTCGTTGTTTCTGTCATTAGGTGTGGCGTGAGATTTCTACACCACGCACACATCAGCTCGTTGCATTTCACTTCACTTCACTTCACTTCATTTCATTTCACTCCGCTTCACTTTCTTGGCCACATTGCTTACCACAGCCTTAAATTTCGCACACCCGCCCACTTGTTCTCCATCACCTCCACCCACGACAACTCAAAGGCAGTCTATCAGACCAAAACGGAGACAACCACAAGCGGGCGCTACGCAGAGCTTTCTCGGTACGCTCCCATGTCTCCATCAACCAAGCTCGAAAGTAGTTGAAGAACTGACAAAAGTTTGCGCAGATGGCGACGGACGGTGGTGAGGACTCTGTCGTCCTTACTAGAGATGACCGGGAGAGCTTCAATTTGCTTCAGTCCAACACTTACGACAAGCTATGTACTTTGAATCCACCTTCCCAAGATTCAATGGAGAAATTGGAGAACTACGTTGCTGATGTTGTGGAAATGCTTGCACATTATTCTGGTCCACTGAAAGACAAGGCGATGCGCTTGATCACGATGGTGATTGGTCTTGTTTGGGACGCAGTAGGTCGTTTGATCTCACTTCATCAGAACCTCTCGACGCTTCATACGCGCGGCAACAGGAATAGAATCTGCCAGATGCTTGCCGTATACCTCAATTCCAAGCTGAACATGGGGCATGCCTTCGGTAGGAGCTTCGCAAAAGCAAAGTCTGAGTATGTTGTCGCATTACAGAATGACGAAGAGGCCCAGAGGGAGCGCAACCAGAGCGCAATTCTTGCGAATAAAGGAACGGGTTTCTTTAAGGCGAACATCGATAGGAATTTTGTAAAGCCTGCGGCTGACAGACGGGAGTACGTCTTGCACATTACCGAAAGTGGCAAGTGTGATACTGGGCTTCGACAAGGCTACAAATTGCGATGGACGGAAGGAGACGATTTTATGCACGTGCTTGAACCAATCTTTCTTCCTAACGGTGTAGTCGACCCGAACTCAACAATCACCAAGAAGCGTTTCCTGGCCTAGTAAGTCATTCGAGAAATCCACGTTATGCGACGCAGGTACTGACAAACTATAGTACCGCTTTCGGGCTCGACATCCGCGACGCGGCAGGAGCTTCTTTGGGAGATCGCCAGCCTATGGCAGGCAAAAGCAAGAATGAGACCCTCCCCATAGCCGGTCTGGTCATCATGTTGCAGGATCAGCCAAACGCGGAAGGCTTTTTCGACCGATGGGAGGAAGTCACGGGCAATTCCATTGATGGGGTTCTTGCTAAGAACGTCAACATTAGGAAATACAACGGAAACTTTCCAGCGACAGGCCATTATCTTCCCGCAACATTCTTTGCGCGTTCCAGTAGCGAACGCGGTCTACTGGTGTTGTCCACGCTGAACGGTGTTCTAACGGCAAAACTTATGGCGAGACACGTTGACGCAGTCAAGCGTCGCTCTCCAGCGCGCCCTGGCGATATGCTGTGGCTCCTTGATCGTTTTCTCACAGGGATGTACCCTCAGGGTGGTGAGGTCGATCTGTGCCCTGGATCGTTACACTTGCTATCGGTGTACAACAAGATCCGATATTTCTGTGATGAGAGGACATACCAGGACCATCCACATTGGCGAACCCTAGTTGCTCTTGTAGATCTGACAGAGAAGGGACTCTACGAGGGCCACATTCCTGCTAACTATCTTTTGCTGGGGATTGAAGTCTTGCGTCAACCCATTGCAAACGAAGCCGTCGTGAGGACGGGTACCAACAATAGACAGCGCTACGAGATCGACCGGCCAGTATTGAGAATTGGTACAACTAGACCTGCTGGAATTGTTGCTGCATCGCTGATTTGCCATGGGTAAATGACGACACCTACGGGAGCGAGGAGCCCATGTCGGAGCCTTCTGATGATGAAGAAGACGAAGCAGAAGAAGAATACGAGTATTAGTAGGTAGAGAAGGGGGAAGGGATAGACGAAAGACGAGAGGAAGACAAAGAAGGTGGGAAGTGAGGAGGGGAGGAAGGTGAACAATGAGAGTGGATCAAGTAGAAGACATACTTTCTGACCAATCCCTAAATTGAGAATAGACAACGGCCCATTCTGAGGCTCGTGAGAAGCAAATGGCAGAGATGGCGCAGCCCAGAAGACACTGGTTCTGACATTGGCCTCACTGGTCTTGCCACCTCCAGTTCTGATTCCAGTAAACTAGACAAAATTAAACTTAAGTTTCAGGTGCTTCTACTTAATAATGCACAGCTTAAAGAACCCAAAGCATGTATCGATAATGGTAGGTAGTCTATCAGTTGCACGGTTCATACAGATCTCCATGAACGCTCTCCTCCCTCCCTTTCTCTGTCGAACAGTCCCGATAGTAAGAAGCTCAAAAAAAGGGCTCTGCCGCGATTCGAACGCGGGACCTCCTGCAGCTTTGAGTATCGCCCAAAGCAGGAATCATGCCGCTAGACCACAAAGCCTTCTGATTGGTTGAAATAGTGGTCTGTGAATTGAGTATATATAATCAACCAATCAGCGTCGAGTCTACGGGCTTCATGCGCTCTTGAGGCCAACATATGTTGACTGATACACGAAGTAAGAACCAGTATCATTTTTGGTTCCATAGTTCTCAAGAGCAGCTTACAACGTCTTTGTATGGCCGTGGTGTGGGCCGGCACTCTCGCGTGTGCGCCTGCAAGTACGACCAATGACAACCGCGAAGTAATTCCTGACCATTACACACGTGGTTGAGGGACTGATCACTCGTATGTAAGTGGCTTGATTTTGGGGCTTGAATGTAGACCTTAAGAGTCATTGTTGTACAGCTCGTGAGTCACAGCTGGCTCTAACCATACAGTCCATACTTCATGAAACAACAATTGTTTCTGTCTCTTTCCAAACACTGATAGTCTTTATGCATTGAAGGTAGCCAGATTGTTTTGAACTCGTAAAGGCTTGAGTATTCAAGTGTTCGGCAAAATTCTCGCTTAGCAATGTCTCGTGGCCAGAGTGAGCTGTGTTTACTCTGTCCATCGATCACACTCTGACACACTCCATGAAAAAATCACATCTTCGCTTTCATCACTACTTAGAATGAAACCGGGTAGCTGATGGCCATACGAGGGGTGTTTGATGCGACAAGTAATATGCTCACAGCTTCGACTCCCGTGACCGCCGGGCAGCAACCTTACCTAATGCCTGCCAAAGCTTCAAGCCCTCCTCGAGCCTCCCATCATGCTCGACTACCACACTCCCATCTTCCTTCAACGTTCGAATCTCTAGGTCGTCCTTGGTACCCCACTGCACCTCATTGCCCTTCAAAAACTGCGCCAACGGCTTCTGGAATGCTTCGGTGATAATCTCCTTCTCGTTGTCTGTCAAATCACCGCCATCTCCCCAGAACCAAATCGGCAGATCCGTCGTATGCGTCGGACCGAACTTCTTCGGCACTTTCTTGTCAACACACTTTGCGCGCCACTCAATGCGATACCGGTGTAGCAGGTCACCAGCGCCGTGCTGGACCAGCGCACTAGCCATTCCTCGTTGAAGCGCGTGGATTTGGACATCAGCGTAGATGTGTCCGAACGCATCAACCCAGCTCTTGTACTGTTTCGGCAACTTACGATCTGGAAAGTAGTGCCTCATCAGCACCTCCACCACAGCTCGAGGATAATCTGCCTCTAGACGGTGGGCGAGGCTTTCGAAGCCCGGGTTCGGCGGCTTCCAAGTGCCATACAGAAAGTGCTCTTCAGAGCACTCACCCATCATAATCTTCACGCCTCGGCGTCTCAGGCGCTGCGCAAACTTGCCGTTGTCGAATTCTTTGAGGAGGTCTTGCCGGACAAACTCACCATCTGTGACTGCGCGGAATTGGTGGATCTTTAGCTTATTGTTTGCTTCGATGAGAGTCTTTGCAGGTAGCTGACGGAGTTTAGCAAGTTTCTCCGAGGGAAGCAAGCTCGGCGGAATATTTAGAGTGGTAAGGAGCTCCTTGAACTGATCTTGCGATTCCTCCAGGCTCTTTGGCTGCATGCCTGGTCCATTCGACAGCATGAGCGCTCTCTTTACCAGAGCTTTTTTATCGGGTACACCAAGATCATAGGCTAGCTGATAGAAGACAGAGTGAGCTCCCGCAGAGTAGCCGGACAGTGTTATGTTGGAGGGGTTACCACCAAAGTAACTAATGTTCTCGTAGGTCCACTGGAGTGCTAATCGCTGGTCCCAGAAGCCTAGGTTGACACCAAAGTCCGGACATGCTTGGGTAAGCTCTGATGATGCGAGGAAACCGAAGAGATTCAGTCGGTAAGCTGGTGCCACGACGATGCATTTGGTAGGTGATTCGCTCAGAAACCCACGCATATCCATGTCGTTAGGGTTGCCGAATTGGAAGAATCCACCATGTATGTAGAACAGAACCGGCCAACCTGGCACCGTCAGTCCTTAATTTAAACGATCTAAAGAATTCTCAGACTACAAACCTTCTTTGGGCGGCTCCCCAGTGGGAACCCAGATATTGCTCTGCAAGCAGTCTTCCTCCCACAAGCGATCATCAAGACCTTGTCTTGTGATCTGCGGACAAAGTCCACAACTGCCAGTGAACCGTCCTGGGTTTGATTTTGTACCGTAGCGATAGCATGTTGGAAGTGATCTTGGCTTCTGAAAGCGGAATGGTCCTACTGGCGGAAGGCCGAACGGAACGCCGCCGAAGAAGTGACAAAGCGGCTGCGACTTTCCATCGAGGTATGTGAGACCTTCAACCACACCACGGAATTGCAGGTCTCGTAGATGAGGCTGGGAAGGCTTTGACATGATGGTTGTAAGTGACATACAGTGATCAGAGAGTCGTGCCTCTTTCCGAGGTCCGGCTATCACAGACCGACTAGTCTGAAAAAGGTAAAGGCTCATCACCCAATAGCTCCATTGAAGCATGCAATCTGGTTTCCAGAATCGACAGATTGGTCAAACTCGAGGAGATACGTATAGATTCATAATGCTAGATGAGCAAATGATAAGGGCTCGGGGTGTTGGATTCATTTCTTCCCTCTCTTCTTCTCATCTCAAACCTTCCTGTTTGCATTATAGTATGTGCAAGGCTTAATTCTCAATCATCCTTGCACAAACCCCTCCAAATCATTAAATCTTGCAACATGTACGCCGCTGTGAGACCGGAGAAGGGTACAGAATCTACCGCCGAAAATCAAAGATTTGCGGGATACATGTGGACTGCGTCATGACGCGAAGTCCTTAGCTTCTGTTTGTAGGTTTGCAGCGAGTGCATGTTCGCGGAAAGATGGAGGATAAATGAAGGCCGAGATGCCTGAAGTTTTGGAAGACTTGTACAAGATATTGTTGAGAGTGAAGTGTGAGAGTGACCGATCAGTCACGTCCAGAAGTGTCCATCTGAGTGGTCAGTTAATAGCTTTGGCAGATACAGGGCTTCAGAACTCCTCCCTACATGATTATGTAGCGTGTTCATATCATACCACTACAACAGTCCTCATGAAGAATCCGGTCCTAGCCCAGTCCAGGTCATCATCAGTAAGCTCAAGGACTTCAAACACTCCAACGCGTTTATACACTTCTTTCTCCTCATGAACACGCTCCAGCACAAGGCCGTGGGGACGGAAAAAAGTCTCCCTCCTATTCGTAGTACGAGCTATCGCAACATCTTCCTCTTTACTCACTGTACAGTCTAGACACCATAGCTGTTTTGACCTCACAGATGTAACCTGACCAATATCGAGAGCGAACCTGACAGTAACTGGCACTGTCCCTCTTAAGACAAAGTATCTCTGGCCTTTCTTAATGAGTTGACTGGTCAAACATGGCTTCAGCGGCCCCGACACGGTAACAGATGCAGCTGAGATCTCGCCATAGGGATTGCTCGTCGCTAGCTCTGCATGCACATCTACAACATTAAGCTGCAGAAATCGGCGACGTGTGGGATCCAAGGTCCACACTGCAGCCGTAGATGCCCAGCTCCAGGTGGGAGCTATGTATTTGGACGACACTGGTTGTGCAGGATGAACGTACCACAGCAGTCCTGCGACGATGTCTTTCCGCCACAGCCCTGCAATATACTCGTCATTGGTCTGTGAAGCCACGAAGCATGCTATTCCCGATAGAGCCGGCAAACGGTCGGTATTATAAGTGAGCGCTAATTGGGAGTAGGACTGCACAATTCGAAGCCAGCGGTCGTAGAACTTAGTACGGGTACTCTGAGCAGCTTTGTATACGAGTCGTTTCCTTCCCGAATCGTAGCCGAATAGGGAGTCGCTACCTGGCCCACGCTCAAGAACTGTACGTGTATCGCATTCGAACGCCATAGCTGTCGATGTCAAGTGTAGCACGCGTGGAGAAAGCAACAGTTCTTGGAAAGCCCATCCCCTGTACTTTAAGAAGTCATTTCTGGACTCATGGTCCACCATGGAGCGGGCGTAAACGTATGTTCCTGGGTAGGCTGGAAGAGGACATATGGGGTGCTGAGGTGGTACGTCTTCAGGGCGCACTTCTTGGAACCCACGAAAGCTGTTCTCGTATGACATGGCTGAGAGTGTCAAGTAGCTGTTGCAGTAGACATCGTACATTCGCTCGCACTCAATCGCCCAATCGTCTTTACTGTCTTGGACGATACACAGTGAGTCAATCCAGATGTATCTAGGTCGAGAAGCCGTCAGTCTACTTTCCCTACCAGTGACTTCGCACAAGCTCACCTCTTTTTAATCGCTCTAGTCATATGAATTGCGTCTCGATATAGCTTTGGAAGTAGACAAACTTGAACACCATGCTGCAACATGTCAATGTTGCCAGTGTTACACTTCAAGATGCTGATAATTTCAGTTTGAGATGTTCCAGCTCCGACTGTACGGCACTCACAGGTCAACGCTGTTCTCTGGCATCATGCCCCAACAATGACTCAACGCGACATACTCTCGTTCTGTAACATCTTCCCCGTTCACCAATCGAACAACTCCAGGAGATCCAGACGGCGACACATCCACGACCCTTGTCGGAAGTTTTCCCCCGCTCTGTCGCCTGCACGAGCAATGCTCGGTCTCACATTCTCTCACCCATCCTAGAATCTTATTTACCGCCGCACAAGACAGTCGATCGCGTTCCGCGTCGCACATCTTGATCTCGCACTGCGGCAACATCCTAGAAGGACTCCCTTGCGTTTTGAGAAAAACATAGTAGATTGCCGAACATTTATCCTGAGGAACAAACATATGAAGACACATGATCCGTTGTTCGAACATCGCTTCAATCTTTACACGAATTGGGCCGCCGCGACCCGAATAGAAGGTTGGACGCAATTTTGATCGTACCTCAGCTACAGTGAAGAAAGTACAGAGTCGGCAACCGAGCCTCGCTGCCTCTCTTAGTCTCGTCCAGTTTTCATGGTGTAGCTGGCCTTCTGGAGAGCTTTCTGAGATACGCATGCGTTGGTAGGTGAGAGCAGCGCATTTCTCGCAAAGAAAGC